TAAACCTGAATAAAAAATAAAAATGTCACATTGAAAGTACACGTTAAACCTTATAAAACTTGAATAATCCTAGAATCAAGTGATTCCCGCTGCTGCCCACTGGACTCTTGCTGCCCTGCTGTCCTAGCTGCCATTTTCAGTCTCGGCATCAGACACCAGCTTGATTATGGTGAGGGAATGGGCATCCTGGGTGCAGGGTCTCTCCTGCCCAAGGAGCCCTTACTCTGCTCCCTGCTGTCCCTTGATTCCTGGTCCTGGATGGTGGAGGTAGGGGAGTGTTGGGCAGGGACATTGAAACCTGTGTGGACATTGACGACTTCTGGGACCAGGTGGAAGTCTCAGTCAGGCTGTCCCAACTTCCTAGCTTCCTCCAGCAAGGCTGGAGCTCCTCCTTAGGCAGGCAGTAATGTCCTCAGTGCTCAAAGTCCAGTGGGCCCACTGCTAGGTCTGAGTCTGGGCCTGCAGCTCCTGCAAGTTCTCCAGTACTCCTACCTCCAGTTTAGACACTGGTTCTGCTCACCAGCATCTTCACAAGGTTGAACACCTCCTCATCTCTCCACTCCTTCCATACCCCTTCTCCTCCTCCTCTGACAGCCTCTTGGCCTGGAGCTTGCCGGTGGCTCCCTGCTGCACAGTGTCTATGGTCTTTGCCAGGCAGTGAGGGCACCTGCTGTAGAACTGGGAGAAGGTCAGTCCTGCTAGCTATCGTTGTGCACCGTCTCTTTTCTTGCATGGAGAATTACTGCCACATATAATGTTTGACTGCCCCAAGTTTGACTATGGTATTAATTGGGGAAAAAAATCCACATATATGGACCCTTGTAGTTCAAACCTGTGTTGATCAAAGGTCAACTGTATTTTTTTTTAAATCATTTACTTAATGTTATTTATTTATTTATTTATTTATTTAGAGAGGTTTTCGCTATAGGGCGCGTGCACTTGCCAGACAGACAGAGAGAGACATAGAGACGTAAAGTGAGAAATCACCCCCCGGGGGGGATGGTCACGCCGCAATCCCTTCTCCTCCATTCTCCTCTCAGGATCTTGGGCATGCACGCACACACGCCCGGCGAGAGTTTTAAGCCACCGGGTCCGGGACACGAACTGCGGTCGACCACGTGGGAGTCCAGCGACATAGCCATTATGCTAACTGCTGGTCCCCCATTCATTCATTTATTTTAATTTGACCAAAGAAAGACAAACACACAGAGAGAAGGAAAGTGAGAAAGCAAGTGACCAGGTCCAGGACTAGAACTGTGGTCAGCCATGTGGGAGACTCTAGCTCCTTAGCCAGCATGCCACCTGCTAGTTCTGGTCAACTGAATTTTTTTTTTTTACAATCTTTTAGTAGCAAAGCAGCTTCCTAGGACTCATGATTAGTTCCAGAGTTGATGTATATTTTTACACATGTGTGCATCTGCCTCTGTTCCCATTTTTGTCACTTACCAGAGGAGAGACACTCCACTGGGCTGGAAGTGTAAGGTGATTTATCTGTATTATTTGGGTTGCATTAATTAATGTAGTTAATGTTTTAGACACTTAGTTATCTCAAGGATACAAGGAATAAGGTGACCGAACACTTTGTACCTCAATGAAAGATGCATAAACAGTGAGTGTTGAGGGGAATGAGCAGCCCTGAGGGCCAGGAGCAACACTACTGAAGAGAATTGGTAGGTTTGCCCCTCTGTA